CCCCAAAACCCCAAAACCCCAAAACCCCAAATGTACTAAAATATCTAAGTTATGATTAAATTAAATAATGAAAAATATATACAAGATAATTTTATTAGGATATTTCTTTTAAATTGTAATTTAAATTTAAAATGCATTAAAAAGTAACACAGCAAGTTAAAACTTAAGCAAAGGCAGTTAGCTGCTCGAAGAAAATTAGAAATACTGTAGTAAGCTATGATATGTTTGGAATGCCTGTTACATTGACATACAAGAATAAAACGAGTATAAAATCATTAGAGGGAGGATTGATTTCAATATTAGCTTGAGCATCAATATTTCTGATCTTAGCTTACTATATTTAAAATGCAATCAATCAAGTCTCTGTTATCTAATCAGCATTGTATAAGATAGACTTGGGAAAAGATCAAAGGCAGTATAATTTGAATCAGTACACTTTTGATTTTGCACTAAAAGTAGAGTACTTGAACAGCTGAAGGGAACCTCTAGTTTAAGAAAATTTAGACCAATATGTCAAAGTAGACCTAATATAAAACACTCAAACTTGGAAACAAAATATATCAGGGAATGATCCTCCTTTTTATTTATAAAAGGATCAAATTTCTTATAAGCTAGGAAAATGCGACTATGGTAGATTCGGCACAGACCCTAATATCTTCGATTATCAAGGTATAATTTCTGGATATTTGTGCCCTATTGATAGAAATTATGAGGTTAAAGGAAATTTTGCGAGTCAATAATTAAAGTTCTTTTCATTATTAGTAAAGCCTTGCAGTTAATAATACCTGGATGAGAAATATAATCAAACCAAAAGCTGCAAAAGTACTGATGAAATTTCAAGAATAGTATCGCTACTAAAACTAACTCTGATAATTCAGAATTAATTCTTTAATGTTACTCGAGACGATGATAATCCTGAGCAATATTCAATAGAAGAATTCATGCAAGATCAATATTTTTCTTTGCAATCAAATAAAAAGCAGAAATTCTACTTTGCAATAAGTTAAAATGAAGGTATAAAGAAGGATATGTTTTTAAAAGAACGAAGCGTATAAGAAACATTTTTGGAAACTAGATTCGTGAATAGCTATTAAGAAGATTATGCTATTACTGATTCTGCAAGCAATAGCTACATTGAAATTGTGTTTTAAATGGATAACTAGGTTAAAACAATAACTAGGTATAAATAGAATGTTAAGGAAATTTTAGAATAGATAGGTGGGTTTATGTGTATAATTTTAACTGTGGCTAAATCATTAAGTCTATTGTTTACCGAAAGATCCTATTATAACACACTAATAAAAAGTCTTTATCGCTACTAAACTTTAGAGGATAAAGATTAAATCTATGAGGATGATATTGGAGCTTCAACACCTACTAACGGAAAAATTTTAAAACAAAATGAAAAGCAAAAATGTAAAGATCTTGAGGACAATAGGAATGATTTACAAAAATTAATAGATCATCTCATAGATAGATCAAAGTTAAAATTCAATATGTGGATGAACTGCAGAGTTTAAGGAAGAAAAGCTGGACTTTGTAAGACTAAGAAAACTGATTCATTAAGCAGGGATAAGTTATATGAAAATGGAATCATAAAAATTAATAAGGAACTTGACATTAGAGATGTATAAAAGGAATTGAGAAATTTGAAATTCATCACAAGGGCTTTCCTCAACAAGCAATAATAATTTCTTCTTAGCTATTTGAAGTATAATCTTTTGAATGAGGGTGGATAGATTGAGTAATAACTCTATGATAAATTTTTGCTTAAAAATTGTCTAAAACAAGTTCTTCATAATTAGAAAAGTAGTAGCATTGATAAAATGATTTTAAGTTAAATACAACTTGATGAGGTTGATCAGTAATTAGGTAGCTTTAAGATAATGATTCATAAAAACCCCACACCATTATTAGATGCTCTTCAAGAATCTTTTGAATAATAAAGAGTCAAAGATAAAACAAGCAAACCATCTCCTAAGGCTTTAGATTTGTTATTTGGCCCAAAGAAGTCGTAAAATATTTATTTATAATAATTAAATTTTAGACAAAAAGATAAAACTATTACAGCGAATACTAAGAATCCTACTAGTCTTGAAGATGAGCATTAATAACAGAATGTGGGCAATAATGAATAGCAACTCACTGGAAAAAATTAAAGCAGTCCAATAAAATTTGAGATTGATAGTAAGAATTAGAAGTCCATGAAAGATAGTAAAAACTTGCGCTTTAAATTGGAATCATAGAGTAAACTGAATAAAAATTCATAAGCAAAAAAGAAATAAAATAATCAATCTTCTCCTTTCACTCAATACCTATGAAAAATGATGGCATACATATTATCTGATTGATTACTCAACTAAATTTGATTTCATCACTAATTCTTGATTAATCTCTTTTGGGGTTTTGGGGTTTTGGGG